CCCCAAAACCCCAAAACCCCAAAACCCCAAAACCCCATAAGGCCGAAATACATTTGAAATAAATATATAAATTTTAAAAGAATCGTCATTATGAAATACCAATACTTCGTGCCTAAAATATCTGCTATAAAGCTATTGAGTAGAGTTAGAGTCTAAAAGAACAAAACGTTTTTATAAAGGTATTTGGCTCTACAAGTATTAGTAACCCTAACCCAGAATTTGGTGAGTAGTTAAAAAAAATCGTCTAAAAGCAAGTCTCTCTGGTGACTATCCAGAAACACTTTGGGGTTGACTGAATTAATCGTTGGTTAGTTTAATCAGCCCAGAACTTGAATTATTCTACCACCAATATTCCCTAAAAACTCTAACAAAATTTAGTCTTCTGCATAAATTGTAGCCAATTTGTTCATGAAACAAAGTCTATCTTAATTAATTAACTTTGAACACAAACGCAAGCAAATGGATCTTCAAAATCAGAAACACCCAATCTAGAGAACTAGTTTGATCAACTTTGTAAAATGTTAGATTTCGTCTCTTGGCTCTTCATGTTTATTGGCCTTGTTGTGCTTGCTCATCTGCTGAAGCATGAGCTCTGCACACTGCTTGTAGATACCTTCGTTCTCGCTCAAAGTTGGGTTCTTAGCAATGAATGAGTCAATGTATTCTGGGCTCAAGACTTTGGCTAAGACAAACCTCATCTCCGGAAGAACCATGAAGGCGTCCAGCTTGGAGTGAGAGTAAGAGAAACAGAGACTGCGCAATTCATCTTTCAGGAGTTTGTCAGTCCCAGGGAACAACACAGAAGAGCCTTTATCAGGGTCAACGAGCACAGTTAGGAACTGCTTGAGATTGTCGAGTTCTCCGTGGACATCACTCACATCCTCAGGAGACTCCACTTGCAACGCGTAAGGCACGAATTTTTGCATGGCTTCATCAAACTGCTCATCAGACATGCCGAAGTTCATCTTGAGGACTTCAGAAGGATCTGAGGCAATCACCGCATCGAGGTCACCTTCAGGGTCTTCAGGCTGGAAGAGGCCTGAGTTGATGCAGAACAGTCTGAATAACTCCGTGAATTCTCTCCTGGCTGCTCTGACCAAAGCTTTGTTGAGTACGTCGAGTCTCATGTTCTTGGTGTAAAACTCTGTCTGAGGGAACTCTCTGGGCCTGCCTCTGCCTCTGCCTCTCTTGGTTGAAGGTTCCTTGACTTCTTCATTCTTGGATTCTTCACTTTTTGAATCTTCTTTGACTTCCTCTTTGATATCTGCATTAACTTCATTGCTGTTGAAGTCATTGGGGTCTTCTTTAGAAGCTAAACAATCACGATTGAAAACAGAAACAGCTGAACCTGAGAAACTAAACTTCATTAGCAATTGAAATCCGAATTAAAACTTAGAATATCCTGACGTTTGGCTGTAAATTTAACTGAAGCCATTGATGAATTTTTAAATCAAGAGTATAATCAAATGATGATGGACTATCAACTCCAAGCAAAAGAGCTTCCTAGTGATGCTCAATGGAGTCCCTTAAAATTACTTAAAACTGAAAGCTGCCCAACCAAGGACCTGCCGAAGCTTTATTGTGCTTTCACTATGCTCAGCATAATTGTTCACGCGCCTTAACTAAAGAGTATCTTACCTATGATGGGCATCTCAGAGACAAGGGACTCTTTTTGCTGGCCTTCTGCATCTTCAGCCTTAACGGAGATTTCTATCTTCATGCCTTTCGGATAGGAAGCCATGCACAGCAAAGGAGGGTCTCCAGCATTTGCTCCTAAATGATGGTTAGCCAGATGCACCTAAAATATGAAGCCGAACAGCAAAGTTTGAAGACTAGAGCGTCAGAATGCTGCTAGCTTACAGCCGGATGACTTAGTAAGTTGTAAGAAACTTCTCGTGCTAGTAAAAGTGAAGACATGGCAGGAAATATTTTTCACACATATTAAACCTATGGAATCTCGCTAGGTTAAAGAACCTCCCCAATATTTTATGGAGCTATCTGGCGCCCATGGATCTAGCATTTGCCGCCAATTGCAAAACTAAAATTATGAATAAATTCTCAAGCTCCATATCTCTAAGAATAGGGAAACTCAAATTAAAAAAAAATTGGAAATCCTAAAAAATCTTTATAGTTCGGCCTGAAAAGTATAATTTTCTATTGAGCCTGGTCTTTAAGAGAAGCCACTTAATCATTGAAGTTTATACGTCAATGCCAGCAGTTCTTCTCATTTGCAGAGTCCTCCTCGTCTGTACGAGGCACAAAAGTGGTGATATTAAATGCCAACCATGGTGAATTCTCTTTGATATTTGAAATTAAAATTTAACATGCATCATAAACTAAGGTTTCACAATTTATACGGGATGCTACAAAAGCTATGGCTAGCTCTCGACTTAATACGAGGGGTTGCTAGTCTAAGAGAACTTCACTGAGGTTTCATGTATTCTCAGAAGCAGAACTACCAAAGTTCATATTTTGCGGAATTACAGTAATTTTTGAGCACAAGCCTGCTCTTGCAGCTTTAAATAAATTTAAGTCATACATGTAGCTCAATCTGGTGGTTGGATACTATCCTAATGAGATTTCAGCTGCTGATTGCTCAAACTATCCAGCATAGCATTGAAACATCAAGTTAAGTTTATTGGCTATTAATGGAAATTTTGTATAGCTTCAGAACAATACTAACAGCTTAATTATCTTTGCACAACACTACTTGCTGATTGGCTTAATCTCTATGGCCTCTGCAAATAAAAATTGACAGTCATCTTCGACTGTCCTTGCTTAATTATCCAAGCAATCGAAATGGTGAAGAATTTAGTAGGTTGCCTAATTGGAACTATGAAACTACTCATAAGATATGATACAGGCTACAATCCAGAATGATCAATCTGGATTAAATTCAGTAAATGCACTGACCTAGCCTTCCTTGAGCACTACAGCAATTACTCTGAAACTCAGGGATAAGCTAACAAGTTGGGTTCGAACATGAGACTATGTCAACCTTGCCTTGGTATGTCAGTCGTATGCTACTAACCAGAGAGAGATGAAGTCGAGCTAAATAGTCCTAAAGCCCAAGCTAACTCAGAGACACCCATGTCTTTGGAGGCGTATCTTTTGGCTGAATTGATCTACCACTCATGAAGTGTGCTGGTTGCCTGAATGATTATGAAAAGCATCCCCTGATTTGAACCCATACCCGGTTGGACAAAAGCTGAAATTTCAGACTTATTTGCTTGTGACTGATTAACTCTTCACAAATCTTAGAGTCTTGATGATACTCATGCTGAGACCGCTACAATCATGTTGGGGAGGCTGGAGGGTGCCACCCTCATTTTGTCATAACTACCAGCTTATCAATGCTAAGAAAAGGCAAGAGCAGCATCTAATGGAAGGCTCTCTGAAGCTACTCAACATTTTATGAAGCTACACCCAAGCTAATATTCGAGCTTTGCTGTGCAAAGAAGCTGCCTTATGATTAGCATCCAACAAAGCTAAACTCTGGTAGCACTTACCTTTGATCAGAATGTTCTGAGTCACCATTTCTCAATCATGTGGCTGGACTAAACAGAGTTAAGCTAAGGGTTCCAAATAGTGTTCACTATCATAAAATCTTAAAACGGTAGAATAAAGCAAGTGACGAATGCTAAAGAGCCTACGAAAAGCCTAAAGAGTGACCTTTGATTGCAGGGTGGCTTAAATTACTCAAAGTGTACAACCTAGTTGACTTAGGCACTGAAGGAACTACCTTGAGTGAAATGAACCAACTAATAACTCTAAGAACTACCAGTTTTAGAAATTATAGAGTTGGCAGTAAGCTGCCAATTTAATCATTTTCAAATCTTCAGCTTTGTGTCACCAAACATTTCTGCTGAAAATAAGTTTTGTGTACTTGTTGAGTTTGACAAATAACTCAGTCTAATAAGCTTTGCAATCTTGAAGTTGAAACTTGGCCAATTCAATCAGTCAATATTACTATTTATGGTGCTTGAGCTTACAATAAGTGTTATCAGGAGTATTTGAAGCATTCAGAGCTTCCAATCGAACAAGCCAAACAACTAAATTTCTCTCTACTCAAAGTGCAAGTATATAAATGCATACTTAAATCTCTAACTTTTGAAAGCGCCTCGTTATCTAACTCATCAGGCTTTCTGTGTAGCCACTTCAACAAATACACAAGCTTGGCTCATAGTAGAAGCTTGCAAGCTTATTTCTAAGCTGTTCAAAGACTGAAATAAAGCCAGAGTAAACTGCTGTTTTAAGTACTATTCTAAACTTAAAGTTCTGACTAGATACCATTAAGTTGCTACTCTAAGCAACCCAGCGATTAGTTGGAAGCACGAAGGCTACACTCTAGTTTTCTGTGTGACGAGTGCGCACCAATATATTCCAGTTATAGTTGTCGCTGGAGCTACTGGAGCCTTGAGAACAAAAATATGGCTTTTACAAAATATTCTCCAGTTTTCCAGAAATGCTGAGGAGTTTGGCCTCTCTAAATAAATCTGGGTTTAACATCCAAGTTTTGAAGTATGCTAAGCCTCCTAATTTATTGGTAAATTTACTAAGCTTCCAATAGCATTTTAAGCAATAAATCTAAAATTTAAGTTTATACAGCCGAATTTAAGCTGTTTCACAGAGATTTCTTGTTAATGATGCCTCTGCAATCCTCTAACAACTACATGTGCACAATTGGGTTTAAAAACTGAACTCAAAGTCTACTCTATCAACTAAACGCATTTGTATAAACAGCAAGAGCTTTTGATGAGAGTAGCTCTTGCAAATGTTTATCTCATTATCATTGATACTCTATTCCAAAACCTGTATCTTACCTGCCATCCCGCATGTTCAATAAGCGTCAAGGTCAAGACCTGTGTAGCTTTGTTCTAAAGCAAGGTTAGGGCTAAGTTCCAAGAACTATTTGTAGCTACAGCCTCTACAAGTTTGCAAAGAGTTTGTATTAAGCTGTCTATGCCACCGTAATTTAAATTTTGAGTCTGCTGAAAACTCTTGAATCATCTGACGTAAAATCACTAAGAAATTGGTATTTTTTGGGATTTAAAAATAATGATTAGGCTTATCCAATAGTAGCCCTGCTCATAGAAGGATAACTAAATGCTGATTTGGCTGGATCACAATCAGATTCAGCTAATCTTAAGATAGCTCTCTAGACTGACTTCAATGATGCTAAGTTTGGAGTCACTTACTCTTGTCACCTTGGGCTTCGTCTGACTGGTCTAAGCCGGCTAAATGATGAGAGATTTGAAGGTGAGACTGCATACCTTTGGGTTTTCTCTTAATAATCATCTTGCTTATAAATAATTGGAATAATATATAATCAACTTTAAACCCACCTGCTGGGGTTTTGGGGTTTTGGGGTTTTGGGGTTTTGGGGTTTTGGGG